GATTCATCTTCTTATTATAGACACATGCATTTCCAAACATTTGGTCTACCTATGTTGTAAATGTATTATCTCTTTGATTTACACACGGCATCTATTGCACGTCTGTCCGTCCTGGGAGAGGGATCCCTCCTCTGTTGCTCTCCCTGAGGTTTCTCCCATGTTCCCCTTTAAACTGTGGGTTTTCTCCGGAAGTTTTTCCTTGCACGATGTGAGGGTCTAAGGACAGAGGGTGTTGTATTGTCATACTGATATTCTGTACAAACTGTGAAGTCCACTGAGACAAAAGTAACATTTGTGATATTGGGCTATATAAATAAACATTGATTGATGATTGTAGGCTTCTTCACTAAAGCCAACATCCTCAGCTATTTGTCAACAAATTACCAAAAGCATGTACTTTTTAAACCAACCAGCTGACAGCAGGAAAACTTGAGTTTTAAATGATGCTCTTTGGGGGTTTTCTCTTTCCTGTAGAGTGTTCTAGGCTCTGGTTTCAGACAGAGGGTGAGAAGAGGTGTTGCAGGACAGGCAGTATGAGGAAAATAAAGAGCTTTTTGAACATTAAAGCATGGAGACATGTCCCAGTAGAGACACTACATACTGATATGAACCTGAAAATTACCATAAAAGGGCCTCTTTAAAAATAGGTAATACCAAGTATTAAAGTTTGCATTTTTCCTTATTTTTTAAGGAATAAACTAAACCTATCCAAACATAAAGGGATCGGTCTGAATGAGTCTTAACTTCATTTATTTGTGTTTGTGTGTGTGTGTGAGAGTTCACAATGTTATTGCTCATGGAGCAGAGCACTCTATAAATACTTAAATACTGGACACAAACAGCTTCCCACAAACAGAGGTTAAAGAAGCAATACAGACAGACAGACAGACAGACAGACAGACAGACAGACAGACAGACAGACAGACAGACAGACAGACACACACACACACACACACACACACACACACACTCACACACTCACACACACACACACACGCACGCACGCACGCACGCACGCACGCACACAGTTAATACATAATCATAATAATAATAATAACAATAAATGAGTCACAGCAGCAATGTTGTCAAGCATTACACATGTTAAAAATATTCTAAAGATACAATAAGATACAAATAAAAAATGAACATGAGTGGCAAGTTTATAAAAAATTACAAATAAACTCGCTAAATGTTGCTGCTGCAAAGCATTGTGGGATGGCATTTTCTTTCTGTTTCTTTCGGTAATGGATGGTCCAGTGTACCCTATGCTTAAGAAAGGAAGCGCTGTATCACAGCTAGACCCGATTTTTCAATATGTCTAAATAAAATGCAGATTTTGTGACATGTATACTGTATATACATTTTGTGTGAAGGCAAACAAAACATTAACTTAACAACAGATAGTGAAAGGTTGGGTTCTGTCCTTTCTAGTTCCTCTGTCCTACCTCATGTTTTATATCTCTATATGTCTGTTTTAAAAAAATACTGTCTAATCAGTTGGATTTCTTTTCCCAGTTAAGACCTTCACTGGGATCCAGCAGCAGTAACAAGAGTCCAGTGAGGTGAGAGGCTCCTCACAGACAGGGAGTCACATTGAACATTAGATGAAAGAAGCTAACCTCTCTCTCTCTGTCGTCTCAGGGATCAGGACTCAGACTCAGACGATGACTATGATGATGTGGATATGTAAGAAAACATAAACCCTGTGTATCTAAATACCACAGAGCATAAATATTGGTTCCAAAACTGCATACTGAATTCAAACTGATGTGTAATGTTCACATTCAAATATGATATGAAATGTGGAAATAGTAGGCAGATCTTTAATTGAGGTTAAAGTAATAATACAGTTAAGAACTATAGTGTAGTAAGTACAAGTCCTGCATTTAATTCAATTCTTGCTAAAAAATATTGTAAAAAAGTACCAGCATAAAAACCACTCTTACCTGCAAAGTAAGTACAATTGTCAAATATTTGCAGAGGAGTAAAAAGTAAAATATTTCCCACCAAAATGTTTATAAGCAGAAGTGTAAAAGAAACATTTGAAAACGTAAAATGTAATTATTTAAAAGTACCCTTGTGTATTTACAGTGCAGTAACATTTAAATATATTGCATTGACAAATTCCCTCTGTCTTCTATCTTCCTCAGCCCTACGATGACACCTGGGTTAGTCTGAATAAACAGCCTCACACGTATATTCATATTGTGTATTTGTATAATGAACACACTGAGCAAGCTCTCTCTCTCACCAGCAGTTTCATAATGACAGCTAATGAGACTCCACCTCCACTTCCACCAAAGGTGATTATCAACCGATCCCTGAACCAATACATGACAAATGTTTGATATTACAGTGACGGGATGTGCATTTCAAGCCAAAACACTTTTTTTTAATGAGGTTATTGCCTGTAATAAAATAAAATAAATGTATGTGAAAGCAGAAACTTGAAATATAAAATATAGATAGTTCTTAATTGTCATTCATTAATTCCAGAAAGTTTAAGATTGTTGCATTACTGTTGTTTTATTAACAACAACTTGTAGAAAAAGTATTCAGAACTTGAAGTTAAAGTGCACATACCACAAGTTGGAAATATTCAAGTAAAAGTATAGTACTTCATTCAGCTTAAGTAAAAGCAAAATGCTCATTTTAACTCCTTTATATACTGTCGGGTAGTTTAATTTACAGCAATGCATCATATTTGATATAACCCTCATATGTGTGTACCATCACTGTTCTGTGAGAACCACGTATCTCTGAAATGTCAACTTTTCATACGTTTCTCAGCCCTGTTTTCAGCTTTGTGACAAAGCTATATAT